TCTAATTAATATGAGTGAAGTACCATTGAAAATAAAACTAAAAAAAAAAAAAACACTTCCTTTGGTTTATTTGAGGAAATAGTAGGCCTACCTATCTGATCCTCAAAATGGATTCTTTAAAGCTTACGATAGTGAATAGGTCACAAAAATTCATTGAACTTGGTAGCTTGGCAAAATTGGCAAATGAATACTTAAATTGAAGGCGCACTAAAAAGACGATGTAGGCCGAAAAGTAACTAGCGAAAGGGCATTATAATTCTGTTCGTTTTACGGCGAATTACTTGACAATTTCAATAACATTGTTCCACTTATACTACAGAATTTTTATATCCATGAAATGGATATATTCAGGCTGAATCTAAAGTTGGTAAATATGTTAACAATGATATCGTTTTCTTTTCCAATTAAGAAAAAGATCAATATTTAACGTAAAACGCAAAATAATGACAAATTCGTGACAGAATGAATGGAGATTGGTTCTAAAATTCTAAAACCGATGGCATGATGATATTGCAATTTAATTTTCTTATTTGTAAATGCTGTTCACGGCTACACAACTATATAAAGATCCGATGATACATCGAAAGTTGTTTGATCACTTAACTTACATTTATAAAATAATGTAATAGAAAGATAATGTAAAAGTTATGGTAATGATTGGGGATTTGTATAGCACACAATACATAGGCTTACACGGTAGTCGGTGCGACTGTTGGAAAAGCGTCATAACGCGTGATTGATTGATTACCGGTATCAAAATCTTTATGTTATGCAGATAGTTGGAACGGAATTGTGATCATTCAATTGTAACTTGTATATCAACTAGGCCTTAAAATTCAATAGTTATGTGATTATACGAAATATTACTAATAATATTAAATTACTTTATTGATGTGTAAATTCTCTATGCAGTGACTGTTCTTGGTCTTTATGGTTGATTGATTGATTGATTGATTTATGGTATAACAATATACAATGATATAACAACAACAGACAATGATGATAAAGGAAAGGAAAAACTCAACATTTTATAGGCAACTATAACATGTATTAATAGCTTTCGTCCACACAAGGGACTTCTCCAGGACACTATAAAAATAGAATAAATAACGATCTCCTGATAAAGTCCATTGTGTGGACGAAAGCTATATGGGATAATTAGGACATGTTGATGTTGCCCTTGAAGTGTTGAGTTTGTCATTTCTTATATTGTTCTATAGCAGACTAACACGGCTACACCTTTTACTCATAGGCAATGAATCATCAACAATGCTCATGTTAAAAGCAACAGAACAGTGCACCCAAGACGATTTAATCATGTTATGGTAATGGTTGGGCAGTGTGGGATACCCCACCCTCCACCCACCCTTTAAGGGACAGCCCATAAATGAAGACGTGAGACGTTCCTTCCATCCGTGAGTCTTATGGGCGACACTGGTCGCTGTTGGATGATGTTGAAATAAATAAAATAAAATAAATTACCTGTAGGAATTTTGCCGTGGGCAAGCAAAGGCACTCCTGCAGCCTTCCCAACCAGGGTTACGGTTATTATATTTCTTTTTATTTCATGGTTAAGATTATCGACTGTTTAATAACTCTTATCTTGTGTTTTGCGCCATGAGCGTCTTTGATGGATAATGGCGAAATTATAAATGTTACTGTTGTTATTGTCGTCATCATCATCATCATCCCACCCACCAAAACCCAATACATAGGACAATTTTAGAATGTTTAATTACGGTATTAAAAATATAAATAATAACAATATTGAAAATTAACAGTGCACAATAATCTCAAACATTTTTTGATAGACATAAACAAAAAATAATTTAAGATAATTAAAACACATTCGCAAATATAATTCGTTACATAGGCCTAATACTCTTGAGTAACACTATAATGGGTCTGAAGAGTACTAAAGCCTCAGGGACTATATACATATATCAATTACGTTAAGAGCCTTCAAGATGAGACACAATATTTGAAAATAATCTATCGTACCCATCTTACTTGTTGCCATAGGAACATGAATACAGTACAGTGTCTTCTTCATTATGTCACACCACTATGATACACCAATTTTGTTTATTAAAAATTTATCTTTAGACTTTAAAATCAACTATTTTATTGACAACACAAATTAGCCTTAAGTGTTTAGTGGAGTTGTAACTTGGAAAGGCACTATATGCTTTTGGCAACGTGATTAATGGATGCAAAATCAATCATACATAATGTGGAAAGCTTTTCCACTCTGAAGTGTGTATGCCTTGTCATTGATGACTGCACTGGCAAATATTAGTCAAAATTTATTTGCATCCTTACCAGTACACGTTTATATTTCTCAATGGAAAGCAGAGGATGAAACGGGGCAGCAAAATGGTGCCCAACCCTTCCCTACATGGAAAAAGTAAAACATTGTCTAAACAAGTAGTGAATTAGTAAAGAGATTAAAATGGTTAAAACAGCAATGCTTAAACAGCAAAAAGCACCTGAACCCCCAGAATAATAACAACAATAATAATAACAACAAAAATAACAATAATAATAATAAAAATAATAATAATAATAATAATAATATTAATAATAATAATAATAATAATAATAATAATAATAATAATAATAATAATAATAATAATAATAATAATAAATATAATAAACATTAGCCCGGTCATTGGATTAAACAGCTATGAAATACAAACTCAAGCTCCCTGTAGGAGTACAGCATTCCATAACGCTGCAGCAGCTACATCAGCGCATTTTGGCATTTAACCCTACCAGGTACCCACTTATACTCCTGGGTGGAGAGAAGCAATGCAGATAGTGTGCCTAGCCCAAGGATACAAGTGTAATGCACAGCAAGGGATTAAAACCCCGACTTCAAAGTTGGGGAACCGAACCGTTCCCACTGTGCCAAACAACTTCCTCTCAGATTCCCCCGCACCATGGACCTTAGGTCATAGGTAGCTATTCACCCTATTCCCACCTACTTCCCAATCAAATGATCCTATAGGTCCACCATGCAAAAAGAACAAATTGTGTCTCGCTTAAAACTCAAAGTGTCCAAATTGAAAGCTCAGAACTTTAATAATACTATACTACAGCAATAAACTTCATTATATACGTACTCTTAAAAGTCACGGTGTCTCTCCCGATAATCTTGTCACTGTGCACCTAAGCATGGTTTGACCAGTTCTGGAATATTGTTTGGAACAGTGGTATATAACCATATAACCAAGCATCAAGAGTGTGCCATTCAGCGAGTTTCGAAGGACGCGCTTGCCGTATATTCTTGGGCCGCAGTTACGCCTTAAACGAAGATGCGTTTATGGCACTACGTGTGGGTTAGTGACAAACGTCGTGACTTGTGTAGATTACAGTATTTGCCAAAAACCTCTATAAAGACTCCTCTAAATTACATGCTTTGTTAACTTGCAACCCTTCTCCCTATAATACCGCCCCCACCCCAAATCCGCCCCTGCGTTTTGTAATTCCAAACGCCACTATAGTAATCCAGTTCTATATTTAATTAGAATGTTAAATGAGTAGAATTTCACTGATGTTCTTGAGGTGTTTTTTGATGCGTATTTTTTTTTTTATTTTTTCTTTTACTTGGATGTTTTCTTCTTTTACTCCATGTAAATTTAAAACTCATTTCAGAATTTTTGCTGTGGGGTTTTAATTATATTTCTTGTGTTGATTTTTTGAAATAAATACCATACAATATAATAATAATATACGGCCTGCTCTATAATTCAATACTTCCCACATCGAGGACTTGTTCGGATTGCATCCCAGAAAATGTTTAAAATGACTACAACTTAATGACAAATACCTTAGATAAAATTTTACAATACAGAAATGATTTTTCAATACATATTTTTAATTTGGAGTGTGAATACGATTTAACTAATCAACTGATACATTTATCTTTTTATCATTTTTACATTTGTAAAAATGACAGCAAAATATTTGTGATGGGCAGTCTGAAACAAAAAGACAATGAAAAAATATATATATGAAGACTCTCTACAAAAAAAACACTCCTTTAATTTCCTGAATGCCAATTTTAAAGATATGCAACAATATTTTGTGTGTCTGTAATTGAAAAAAGAAAATATTTTTAAAAGGTAAAAAACCTTATTCAATTAATTTAAACTAAGCAAACAAATTATTGAATTACATTTTAATAGTTTGTTCAACATAGTATAAACTTTAATTACTTTATACCACTGTTCACACTTAAATTTAATACGATTGGTTTCAATACAAAGAACTTGCACAGTAACTGGTCAGATACAATTGTTTGAAAGGTACCAAAATACGTGCAGTATTACCACACGCTCAGGAAAATTTAACCGAGTCGCACTGTTCGCATCGGAAATTTCTGCTTATGAGACACAAGCTGGATATCCTTCATGAGTAACATTCACTTGGTTAATCTTCATGAAAGTCTTAAGTAGTTTGACCAATGAGAATGTTACGCAGGTTGTCCACACTAGACTCCTTTTTTCAAAGCGACCAAGTACACGGTTAGACTGACCAAAATTAATGCAATGTGAACACAGCTTAAAGTCCTGTCCAGGCTTTCACACTATATTTGACAAAAATACGTAACATGCATAAATAATGGTGATGATGACATTACATCATGATTATATATACACCATTTTAACTACTTTGAACAGCGCCACCAGCGTCTCGCAACTTTTCACAGGGGGACTTCCAGCAGCCTAAGCCTGAGCAGCTGGGTAGGTACAAAATAGAGCATCACGCAGCAGATATCGCCGCTAGACATTTGTTCATAGCAGCAGCAGACAACAAATACGACCTTTTGCTAAATACTGTTTGTAAACATTTAAAAAGCTTTTTGAGACTTTAAACACTGAATTTAATATCAACATTTCGTTCTTTTACCACTTCAAAATATTTGTGCTCGTTAGTAATTTAGTTTTATCGTTTAATTAACCCACGACGATAATTACGTAGAGCAAAATGAAGTCATCCAGTGATACCAGGTTCTCGGAAATGTTCATTTCAAATTTGGCAAAAATGGTGTATTGACACGTCATGACTATATATTGGCATACAAGAGTTTTTTGTCAAAAGAAAATTTGATAGTGTGGACTGTGCTTTAGTATTTGTGAGACACTATGAAATACCAATTTTTCTAAACATTTCCACAAGCCTCCTTAGCAAGAGATGTTTTCATTACTAAACAAGTAAATGACTTGAGAATCAATCATTTTGGCACTTCCTTTTGTGACTACCTGACTATTCATTGCTTGGAACACTTCAGTTACCATGGCAACCATATCGCTTGCTTCTACACGCATGATTTAAAATATTCTTTATATTTTCATGTCATCATGAGATTTACAAGAAGAATTTCCGACGGCTGGTGTCCATTTCATGTCGCTGAAAGACAAAAAATGCAATTGTAATAACCTGATTCTGGCAATAATAATATCAAAAAAGAATATTTAATTAACAACCTCAATTATTTATTTTGTTTCTTAGTCTTGAAATCTTAATTTTAATATTTTAATCTTAATAATAATTTGTTAGTAGATATTAATAATATTAACCATTAATAAACATTTAATTGTTAAATATTACTAATCTTTATATAATAATCTTAACTATTATTTAATAACGTAATTCTTTAATAATACAGGCAATATATAATTAGTAACGTTTTTTATAATTTATACAATCTTTGAACAATAATCTCTTAAAACTAATTCTTCAGTAATATCTTTCTTCTATATTCTTTAGTAATACTGTTAAATAATATGTGAGGTCTCACTACAAAATGAGTCTCATCGTTAGAAAATCCAAAAATGAGTTAATATTACACTTTGGTAGATCACATTATAAGCTTGTCTCTTATACACATCTAGATGTGTATAAGAGACAGAATTCAATACTTCCCACATCGAGGACTTGTTCGGATTGCATCCCAGAAAATGTTTAAAATGACTACAACTTAATGACAAATACCTTAGATAAAATTTTACAATACAGAAACTATTTTGGTGAATATCTCAAATGATTTCACCAATGATGCATCTCATTTCGTGGTGAGACCTCACATATTTGATTTAACTAATGAATACTATTATTTTTTAAATTCACATTAAAATTAAGAAACAGTGACTAATTCTCTCCCCAGTACAGATTCTTCACTGTCAAATGGGAGTGATCTGTTATAATTTGAGGTATTGATTTGTTTGTGTGTGTAAACACTTTTACGCCTTGTTCATCCAAAACAAACAACCACTTCTTCATTGGTAATACAATACAGCAAGATCAGGTTTCCACATAAATTAAACACATAATGACAGATTGATATAGTCACCTAGATAAACCCCAACTCACATTTTTATTTCATATTGTTTTTATTTTTCATTTATTTATTTTCGCTTTTTTTCTGATCATGATTTTCTTTAAATAAACTCACGCATGATGATTATAATAGGGCAAACTGGCAACGCACCGCTCATGGCTTGAATAAGCCGTATCGGCCCAGAGAGAGAGAGAGAGAGAGAGAGAGAGAGAGAGGGAAGATGATTTTCTTTTGTATCATTATTCTAATTCACTATTCATGACAAAAACAGTGTGTAAAAAACACATGTTTACTAGCTGAATATCCACAGCCTTTTAAAACATGTTTACAGAAGCGCGGATAACGTGACATATAATATATAAAGGACATTGAGTGATGCACAGTTGAAGCCTGACAAAGATAGTATTCTAGATTGATGGGATACAATGAAAAGAAAAGCAGTATCTTTAGAGCATTGAGCAAGCAAAGACAAATAAAGATTTGTATTGCTAATATAAACTGCTGTGATGTCACTGTAGAAAGCCAGATGTAAAAAATGAATCAACCTGATCCAAGTGCTTAGTCTACTAAAATAATATTAGCAATTTGCTAATGAGATGATAAAAGTGGTATTAAAGCCGTGTTAGTCTAAACAATATACAAAGAAAATTAAAAGGCAGCACTCTGAGACTAACTTTTTGTTATTTATTTAACACAAGCTTTCGCTGGCAGTCAATGACAGCTTCATCAGGTGTGTGAAGCTGGCATTGACTGCCAGTGAAAGCTGTGCTAAATAAATAACATCTTAAGTCTCAGAGTGCTGCCTTTTAATTTTCTTTGTCTAATGAGATCACATAATGTCATAATTGTAAAGGCCTTTATGCACTTGAAGGTAACTTATGTCACCTATGCCAACCCCACACAATTCAACTGACCTCATCTAAAGATCCAGACTTCAACACATACTTGTTTTTTTTTTTTTTTAAATTCAATATATTACAAGGAGGCTCTTCACAAGGCACAGCCTTAGCATCGAGGAGCCTCCAAACATGGTAATACAATTTATCTGCAGCATGGCAGTGTAAAAGTTCACAATAAGACAATTAAATAACGTATAATAAAATAATAATATAATAATAATGATAACCATCAGAGGGAAGAAATATATATATATATTATACACATAAAATACAAAATTTAAACTGCAAATCTTTTAGACTTCGTTAAAAATTGTTGAACACAAGTAAATAAAAATGAATTCTGCTCAGAACGTTAGCCATGTTGATCCAAATAAAAATTAATTATATAAAAAAATTAAAATTAAAAGATAAAAGAAGTGTCTTTGGCTAAAACATGAGTTACAATTCTGTCAACATTTTGTGAGTACAGTAGTTCTTTTCTTTCTGGGTCATAAATAGAGCAGAGAAGAAAGAAGTGACGTGGATCCTCAACTTCGTGTCCACATGCACATTTTGGTTCATTTCGCAGATCATAAGCAAATAAATGAAAGTTTACCACTAAAAAACCAAGACGAATTTGGTTTACATGTTTATTACCAATCTCATATTTATCTTTTTACTGTACTTTGAAAGGTGGAATTTTATTAATGTTTGTTTAAAAACATAAATCGACAGAGAATTTTTTAAATATGGTTATTTAATTCATTTTCAGGACACACTTTTATAAATGCTACTTTACGAAATCCACTAATGGGACGACAATTTCAACTAGAGAAGAATTTGAATTCAGTTTATACTGCTATTTTAATCAAGATCTACTGTAACATAATATATTTACACAAAACTATAAGCATAGCAATAATGAATATATAAATAATAGTTACAATGTCATGTCCTGGTGCCCAGTGGCAGATCCAGTAATGGTTTCAGCTAGTTTTTTCTGAGGTAAAAAAATTGATGATTATGGCACCTTTCAATGGCTGCAAAAGAGACTTAAATTTGAATATAATTTCCATTTTTTCTATACTTTTAAAATAATTTTGAAAAATTTAGGGGTGCCCAGGGGGCTGCCTAGTAGGAGGAGGGAGGGGCCTCTTACCCTTGAATTCGCCACTGAGGTATATATATCCATTTTACTTCACCGAGAAAAAAACTTCAAATTAATAATGAAGACGACAAATTACAAACAGATCTACACCATTAGTGTGATTGCATTATAATTCAATTTATTCCTCACTGTCAATTACAAAGTACAATGTACTGTAGTACGTTTCACATTGAAAACGGCACTTTATACTTGACATTGGTTGTACAAGAATAAAAAACATAATGAAAGTAGAGGTAATTATGTTACAATGATTCAACTTCAAGCTTTCCATTTTAAACTGTACTTCATTGTGATCAATTCAATTCAAATACGCGTATCAACGCTAGTATAACTGTTTTGAAAGACGCCTTTTTGGTTAAATATTAGCCAAGTTCAGACCTGAAAGATACACTAGGTCTGGGTGCAATGCCAGCCAGGATTTTCAAATAGTACGGGACAATATCAGGATGGACCCACTTTGCGCATAAATTCAAATAATGTGGACCCACTTTCTTAAAAGTTGACCAATTTTACACAAGAATATGAAAAATCTCGACCCATTTTCTAAAAAATTTACCAATTTTGGGATAAATATGAGAAATCTGGACTCATTTTGCATAAAATTGCATAATTTGGAACCATTTTTTAAAATGCAGACCCATTCTTTGTTAACCCATTAGAAAAACTGTGTGGGACTGTCTCAACAGCTGGCTACGGCAATGACTAGGTGTCACCTAAGGTACTAGAAACACAAGATAGAACTTTCGCATAGTAAAGTGAAGCAGATATATGTCATATCATTTACGCAGATCTCGACGTACGAGGCGTCCTGTTTTCTAATATACCTAAGTTTATATTCGGACCAGATCCAGACATATGTGGAACCTCATTTGATGGAGCACCACATACAACTGGATATAAACAAACTGGTGTTAGTACAGTTTTCCCACAATGGAATTCAGTGATACTGTACAGTTTCAAGTATCTTTGGCGTTACTAACACTGGGAATACATTAAAATAGGGCATAACTAAAGAGAGGTTCAAGCTCTGTGAATAAAGTAACCTTTTTACCGTACATGTATTTTATAATCAATTAAATTTAATGTGCTGTATGTTCATCTTACCCTTAAATTTAACTATACACAAAATTATTTCCTGGCATTTTGTGATTGGTCAAATCCTGACCTGAGCGAAAAAATCATTGATGCATGACTGTTGTAACTCAGTTGTGTACGCTAACCTGAATGTCAGTTGAACGATTATTGGATACCAGTGATTATCCATCAATGCTGACGTTCGACTTTTCTGCAGTGTAAAAGGTCACGCCAGTCATCATGATTTATCTATTTCAAACATTATTTGTTCATCTACTGTACATTAATGAAGTTGTTACTGTTGTTATTTTTATAAGAGATTACTCCACACAATATGAGTTTTGTGTTTTTAGTGATGATTTTTGTAATGATGTGAAAATGTACATGCCTATTCAATGAGAAAAAAAGTATATACTATATATTGTGTAATCACACAACTCAAGGTGAAAAATTGCTATGGCAACTGAATCAATAATAATGTTCACATGGATGTAGCAGCACGTACACATGAGCGCTGCATCCTTATTTAATGTATGACATTCACACACTGAGGTAGTGACTATTTATTAGAAGATCAACTTATACCTTCAAAATTTCTAGTTGGCGAAGACAAATCACTCAATGCAAATTGTGTTTCTGAGATAAAATTTGGATTTAAATCATTCTTTCAACATTTTCTAACCCTCATTTTACTGTTTTATTAACAATGTATTAATAACTAAAAATCAATTTTTGTGGAGTGACTGGTTTGTCTTGTCTTTGCCACAGTATGCTGGTTAGCTTTACTGGGAGGGTTGAGGCTTAAAGACACCTATATATACTGTATATACTGTAGGCTACAGGATGATTCCGGAACAGCAAGATCTACTGTATATTACTGTTATATGAGGAAGTGAATGTTTTCATACAACTATTATGTAAAAGTAATAAACATCTATATTTCAATTAC